AGCTAAATGGATGCACATTGAGGCTATACTCTTAAAGGAAATAAATAGGACACATTTGAGTAAATACTGAATAGTTTCTCTGGTGTGAAAAACTAAAAGTATAAATAAGGTTCAATGATATCATTGGGAGATGAAATAGGAAGAAAATGGCTAAAGGAGAAGTGGGAAGGGGAGGGGAAAGGAAATAAGGGGAAAATGTGAAAAATGGAAACAAAGTCTTTGTAAATAGGGAAGGGTGAAGGGAGGGCAGGGGTATGAAGAAAAAATAAGAACCAAGATACGTCATGTAAAGGTACAAGATCCCAATGATAAATGTAACTGTATCATTTGCTTTAAATGTACCAATAAACTTAATTAAAAAAATACCAGTAATCTAGATTAAATATTCTAATCTACTTATTGTTTTGATATAAATTAAACATGAGACAATAAAAAAGGATAGTAGAAATGTGTATCAAATAAAAGCAATAGAAAAAATAAGGGGTTATAAGCAAAATGGTGGAAAGAAGACAGAGAAAGAAGCAAATATAAGAAACCAGACCAATTCAATGAAAGAATAGAAAGATAAATGAGCTGAATCAAAATTAAAATAGTGTAAAAGAAAAATGGGTAACAACAAATATGGATCATTGGAGTGAAAAGTGTAAAAGAAAACAATGGGGTTTCTCTGAGCAAGTAGGGAAGCAGGAGAGCTAACTAAGAGAATATCGCAGGGTTGTCTGGGAATCTGTACAAATCTTCATGAATTAGAGGGGATTGGAGGAGCCAGGTAGAGCAGAACCTCTGGCTAGCCATTTTCCTTATAAAAGACTCTGATGGTGGTTAGTCTTGATTGTGACTTTGACTGCATTGGGAAACACATAGGGAATTAGCAAAGCACACGTCTAGGTGTGCCTGTGCAGGTGGCACTAAAGACAACTAGCATGTGGAACAGCAAACTGAGTGGGGACCACCTGCCCTGAGTGTCCACTCGTCTCTGGGCCCAGTGGAACAAAAGCAGGAGGAAGCCCCAGAGCAGGTTCTCCTACTCCTCTGCTCCCTGGCTGCCATTAGGAGAGCAGCCTCCTCCAGAACAGGATCCTGCCATCACAACATTCTGCCTCACCACAGGCCCAAACGCAGTGGAGCCAGGAAACCATGGACTGAAACCTGTAAAACCAGGAACCCAAATCAGCCTTTCCTCCTTTAAGTCATTTTTCTCAGGCATTTCGTCACAGGAACAGAGGCTGATGAACACAGATGCCAAAGGAGGAGAATTTACATGAGGTCTTAAAGATGAACAGTTTGTGGTCTGAGGTACCCAGAGTTTGAGGACAGGAGGCGTCATTCCAGGGGGACTGGGGCAGGGCATGAGCAGGCAGTGCCATGTTCCACCATGTGGAAGTGAGGAGAACCATGCCTGAGGGCAGAAGACAGGGGAAAAAGGCCCAGAGGGAATTTCTCCCCAAGGAAATAGTAAAACCATTCCTTCAACAGCTTTCTGATAGAGGCAACTCCCTGGAAGGCTGGTTTGGCCCTCACCTCTGAGAAAACCCATCACATCCAAACAACTGCAAGTTTAAAAATAATAATGGTAATAGTAATACTGTACTTAAGTAAGGCAAGCCAGTGTGTTACATGGAAATATGGCTGGAGCAATGGGCTTGCCTCTCCAGAAACACAAACTATGGGCAAATGAATCACCCAGGGAGCTAATGGGCTCCTCTGATGCACCCCATGGTGCAGTCTTCCTGAAATAAAGGCCATTTAGTTGTTTGCCCCCCAACACTGCATAAACAAATAATACATTTGTAAGAGATGTATTTGGGAAAAAAACAGAAAGGATAATTAAGTAGAGGGCAGAAGAGCGGAAATTTGGTGGCAACCCAGCTGGGAAGGGATTGGTGGGAAGAGTTACACACTTCGTAAGACTTATACCATCTCGCTCTTTGTGTGAAATAGTGTGACTATTAACAAGGCAATGGTAATGAAGGGAAACTGCTAGAAAATTAAATGCGGGATCACTGAAGTAGGTCAAAGATAAGCACATTATGATCATCCGGAGGGTACAGAACATTAGGTTCTCAGCACGAAACTTCACAAAAGAGTAGAAGATCTTGAGGACATAAATATTCAACCCAACTTAAACATTACATAACGCACTCATATGCCAAAACATCACACAGTTACCCCAGCAACGTGTGCGATTTTTATGCTTTGTAGCAGTTGAAAGTAAATAAATATAATATCCTTTATTCATAGTATAGTAGCATAACCTATAAATTGGAGTGAATAAATAAGTAAGTGCATAAACATGATGACAAAATTCAAATTTTTCTCCCGAAGACACAGAAGGGAACCCTGTGCTGCATTGCATGGAAACCTTCCACCACCTTTGGCCCTCAGTTGAATGCATGGGATCTAGAAAGGTGTGGGAGGATCAGAAGCAGCTGGCTCTTCCCTGCGCTTCAGGGCATCCTGGGAACTTGGCTCCCCTTGGAGGGGTGGGCGTGCCTGTCTGTCAAATGCCGCTGCACTCCTCAAAACAATCCCTGGGCTCTTCACAAAAACATGTTCTTGACTAGAGAGCCAGACTGTGAACATGAATTACTTTAATAAAATCCTCTTTAACAAAGCAAAAAATGTTAAACCCACGCTGGTGTAGTAAGCATAAGGCTTCAGCAATGATTACAAAAGATATGCTGAGGTTCTTTAAGGTAGAAAGAAAGAAGCTGGCGGCATTCAGGCACCCTGGCTGAGGGTCTTTGGGAAGGTGGCCCAGGTGATGGCAGCAGCCGCCTTTGTAGAAATTAACATGGACAGGTAGTGACCTCCATTACAAAGCCAAGTAAAACATCCACAGAGCCGTTACTGGGAAATTTAGAAGAAATTATATCACAAATTTCAAAGGAGAAAAAACAGCTTATGGAAATAAATGGTGCTGCTTAAAATCCTTGTTACCTCTTTGTATACCAGGGATTGAACTTGGGACCTTGCGCTTGCAAGGCAGGTGGTGCAAACACTGAGCTAAATCCCAGGCCCCTTTTTTTTGCAGGCGGTTTGTACCACTGAGCCAACTAAGGACCTTGCATTTGCAAGGCAGGCAATGGCACCTGAGCTAAATCCCCAATGTAGGAAAAAATCTTAATCACTCCTCTAAAAAAAAATATTTTAACCAAAGATACTTGTTCCAAGAATTTTTTGTGACTAAAATGAGCTCAAACTGTATATGAATTCTCAAAGTTTTCCCCTATCTTAAAAGAATAAATTTGTATGAACACTGGAAAATCTCTTTAGCCCCCCCTCCACACTCCCAGCATCAATTTAAGCTTCTAGTGATGCTATCACAAAAAGTAGAATAAAATGTCAGCTAATGTTTCAAATGGGAAACTCCTGATAATATTAATATGACATTTTAAAGAGTAGTGATACTCCATTTTCTTGAAATATTAGCTCCACGTCAGAGAGCAGTTAATCTACTAAAGAAAAAACAATTTAAAGATCAGTATAGAACTATCAAAACAACAAAAACTATTTCCCTTTAGATGAACTGTTACGACAGACACAGAAGTAAAAAACAGCTCCTTGGACTATGTCAGGGGTAATATTCAGATTTAAGTGTTGATCACATGTCATCCCACAATTCCTGATTCTCTAGAATCTATCTTTTTTTAAAATCTAGAAACTATCTTGATGGTCAAATCTTGAGCTGAAATTAAACATTCTCTTCTCTTTTCCCAGTCATGCCTGTTTCCCAGACTGACTTCTCTTTATGTTTTTCTCTACCCAATAAAATCCCTGTCCCGCCCCCGCTAGGTTTCCAAAGACTGTAAAAGGATCCTCCTCATCAGAAGATCAGGCAAATTAAAATGTGAGAAATATTACATGAATCTGAGCATTTTGTTTAATCCTTTTATCTAAATTATGACACCTGTATCAAATATATGTCTTGGGAATAAGCCTTAATGTATATTTTCCACTTACAAAATATTTAGTATATCTCGAGAAAAAAATAAAGCACCTGAGAATAATCCTTACCCATGTAATACATACTTTCACATTCATTATCGCTTTTAACATTCCCCAAGGCCCCTGAAAGCTAGAGCTGTCACACACACACACACACACACACACACACACACACACACACTCAGTCTTCCCCAGGGGAAGACTGTTGGGATGGAATTTTGGACAGGAGAAGGTGTCGACAGCAGGAACAAGAAACTGCTTGGATGAGTTACCCTGGGCTGGAGGATTCTAAGCTTGAACTTGTGTCCTTGCACGGAGGCTGTAAGATGGAACAAGCTCTGAGGAAGCAGCTGGCTACAGCTGTCAAGTTCCAAGCGGAACTGTGCTCCATGCAGGGTGAAGGACAAAGGCAACTGGCAGGACCCGGGGAAGGTGACCCTCAGCAAAGTGTCCAAGTGCAACCCTAAGGGGAATGGGTGGGTGGGCCCAGTGGAGACAGCAGTGAAGGCCATTTCTACACCATGGCAGGGGAAAAGAGAGAAGGATAAATTACAGAGGCAGCTTCAGGAAAGAAGGAGAAGTTAGAAGTGACCCAGAGAGAGCTGTAATCCTTCCCATGACTTGGGCAGTGGCTCTGAGGTGTGCAGTCACTTGTGAGCCACTGTGCCTGAGGTCCCTACGTTCTACTGAGAGACAACCCTCAGCATATTAAGCTGCCTACAGCTCCCGGACAAAGGGGACGAAGAAGGCTGAAAGAAAACTCCAAATCAGTTCATTAAATGCCAAAGTTGACACAGCTAGGATATTTTGGAGAGGGCTGGAAAATAGCCTCTGGGCTCATGCTTTGCCTACCTTGAGCCAAACTGGAAACAGTCATTAGAACCTATTATATTATGTCTGTCACAACCTATTTTGATTCTAAGTGAAACCATATCTAAAATAAAGATATCCAGAACTCATATTATCTGGGCAAAATTCCCAGTCTACTGTGTGTGAAGACCAAATCAAGGCGGGGCTGGGTCCCACAAGGCACTGAGGTTTCTGTAACTCACCGATGAAGTGGTTTTGTCCCAGAGACAGCATCTCCTCCAAGAGGACCAGGCCCCCCGGAGCCTGCAGGGGGGTCACACTTCGCCCGTCTATGAGAGAACACTGTTGAAATCCCGTGGCCGTGACCTTCCACAGCAGAATCAGCGACGCAGTGGCATCTTGCAGAATCCTGAAAACGGGAGTGATGTAAATGCAAAATCCCTCTCAGAGAAGTTCATCTGAGAACTGGCTCGTGACATCAAAAATAAAGATGACACGTGTATCCACAAAAGTATCAGAAAATGAAGGGAATGGTTATATAAAACAAGTATCCACACTCAAGTTTTCTCAGATGTATCATAAGTATCTCTCACCCACTTCGTTCATCTATACCCCGAGAGGACAAACAGGTGCCTCGCCTTGGGTCATATTTTAATGAATGACGAAAGAGTACGCTGAGATCTTTCACAAACAAATCCTCCCATCCCCACATGATGTAAAAAGAGCATTGTTTAAATTTATGACAAATGTGTGCTGTGGTCCAACTCGGCCACCCGAGTGATGTCACCAAATTAAGCAAATTGTGTCACCCACACACCCCTCCCCAGGCTTCAGGCCTCCCCTGGCTTCCTGTGGTTTCCAAGATAAAATCTGGAGAAGAGTCGGTCAAAGGCCTGTCCGCCACCCCCACCAGGTCCCTCGATGTCACTCTTTCGGCACCATGGCGGCAACACAGTGATGAGCCACTGCCCCTTCCTAGCAACTTCTTCCCCATCCAAGCTCTGCACCTCCCCTCTCTACCTGGGGAACTATCCCTACCTACACAGACCCTCTTCTCTCTGAGACCTGAGCTTCTTCCCACCACCCCAGCAGCTCCCACTTTCCCTGCACCCCCAGAGGACTGGGCTTCAGCTGGGGCCAGAGCATGTCAGGTTCCTGCCCAGAGCCGACTCCCAGCCCCAGCACAGAGCTCCCACCTGGCGGCAGGAGGCTCCGTAAGGCTTTGGGAATTGACTAAATCCATGCATAAGTGGAAGCGTAGGGGGCTAGAAATCCCCCGTGTGAATTTCGGGGCACCCAAAGGTCACTGGGCATCCTCATCTTGCTCAGCCTGTGTCAAACTCTGCCATTTCTCTGCGGTTCACCAACCCGAGGGAGCCTTCTGACAATGTCAGGTGTGTCAGGAGGGAAAAGAAAAAACCAGGAAGCACTGAAAGGGATAAAAGAACCAGAACTACGCAGAAAGGTGTTTGAAGTCAGAGTGCTGAGGTCTAGACAAGAAAGGTTGGGAGGCGGACGTAAAGAAGTAAAGGGAATGAGCAGTCCTCATCCGTACTTCCCTAGAGCAGTGCTGGACCTCTGGGCTTTCTGTGGACTTGGGAGCATGAAACCCTTAGGACCGGGGTCCCCCTGCTGGTGGAGCTCGGAGCCGCCTTGCACTCCACCTCTGCCCACAGGAACTTTCCTCCTGGAGCCCTAGGGGTTCCCTGCTCTGCTAGGCTCTTCTGCCACTGTGGTTTCATGGCTGGGAAAGAGAGATGCAGGGACAACACAACAACATTCTTCTGGGCATTTCCCGAGACTACAGTTTGGAAAGCAAGTTTGGACCAGGCACATGGAAGAGCCTATAGCACCCGCTCACCAGGGAGCAGGGCATTGAGCCGCTTACTCAGGGCACGGGGCTTCTAACACCCCCAAAACTGGGCAGAAAATGACCCGGAGGCTGCACACAGGGATGGGAGTGCAGATCATGGCAACAAAGGACAACAGCAGTGGGGATGTTGGCCAGGTTGGGTCTCTGTGCTGGCCACAACCTCACCGCCAACAGAGTCCCCTGGCAGCTCTGAGCCCAGGTTGAGAATCTGGCCCATCAGGTGCCACTCACCGAGACCACTTCCCTTGGCCTCATCCCCATCTCGCCTGGGGACGACCCAAAGTCTGCAATTTGAAAGAGCCTAAATTTCTAACAAAACACTCTCTCTCAGCCGCTTGCTTTTAAAAAGAAAATTGTAAGATGTGGGTTTTCTAATTGGGCTTCACTTACACAAGTAGCTTTAACCAACGGTCTATTAAAACCTTAAGAGGATGAGAAGTCGGGAAGCAGACAGCAATGGGAGATGAGGGGCCTGGCTGGAAATCTGATCCGAGTCTCGGTTTCTTCCCTCACTTCCGACTCACACAGTCCAATTTCCTGATTGCTTCTCCAGCCTGGCTCCACCCTGTCTCTGCAGTGTCCCTCGGAGTAGCTTGTCCTGCCCCAGAGTTCAGGCACCAGGGCCCATGTGTACTCGTGGCATCTGTTTGTGATTCGCACTGGACTGGCCAGTGGCACACGGATAGACGCCACACCACGCATGGCTGGCAGCGTGGACCCGAACAGGCCTTAACTGAGAAATCTCTTACTTTACTGAGGTGTTCTGTGGCACCGCAAAGGACACCAGGCGGCCACCCGCAGAGCTGTTAGAGCTGGCATTCCCACAGGCCACATCTGGGATCACCTGGGCAAAACAACAAACCAGAAGACAGGTTATTGGGGCTGATCACAGTATAAGATGACATCCCATAGCAAAACGCCATGAGCTGTATCCTGGCTGTGCCTTTCTTTTTTTTTTTTTTTTTTTTTTTTTGGTAGGGGGGATTGAACTGCGGTCCTTGCACTTGCGAAGCAGGTGGCAGAACCACTGAGCTAAATCCCCAGCCCCTGGCTGTGACTTAACAATAAGGCCATGGTCTGACTAAAGAAGGGCCATAGGAAGCCTTGGGAACCTGCAAGAAAATGAGAGCCGTGCCATCCGATTTCCTGAAGCGCAGCTTTCCTGAGAGCAGCCTACAAACTCCCAAGTTGCTGAAATGGAGAAATCGGGATGTTTCAGAAAAGCAGCGGTCTCTCTCACCTTTCATTTAACAGGCAGCTTTGGCTCCTGCCCTGCGCCAGACTGCTGTCCACCAGGGACTGAACACTAAAAGGACAGAAGCCGTCTTTCAGGCCAGCTCCCGGGCAGTGGGCTCGGGCCTTCGTGCCCAGGGCCGAGCCCCAGCACATGCAAAGACAGCCACCGCTGTGCCTGACATTGCTCCTGCTGAGGGGTCGGGAGGTCAGGGAGCTAGAAAGCTGCCCTTCTTCTTCCCCTGTGGGCCACACCTGCCATTTCAAATGGCACCTTGCATGTCGACAGGGAGTTCGGGGGGCGGGGGGCTGTGCTCCTCAGAATGGCACACGACACGTAAGCCGTGTCTGTGAGGGGCTGGTGACCTGTTCCTTCCTATGCCATGATTACTGGCCTCCTCCGTGAGAATGAAAATGAAAGGGCATGAAAAGTATTAAAAGTATTAGCCTTCATGTAATCCCAGCACCCTAGAGAGACCCTGTCTCAAAATAAAAATAAAAATAAAAACACTATAAATAAATAAGGTGGGGCATGTAGCTCAGTGCAAAGGCCCTGGATTCAATCCCCAGTGCAGCAAAAAATAAATAAATAAATAAATAATTTGCCATCACCAAATTAACTGAAAAGACAGAAACTCTCGGCCATTTCAACCCAGACCCAATTCCTACTAGTTATTTTCCACAATACTCTGTAGTCAGTTACTGTGGCTAAAACCCACCATTATGCTCACAGACGCAAATCTAACTCATACAATGGAGCACTTTTACACACGTTTTCATCCTCTAAGGCTCCAAGTAGCTTTATGCTTCTAGAGAACCATTATGTCATGAAAAGAGGAAGCCCAAACACATCCCCACGGTTTCCACTGGCACTTTTAACCTGCTGCTCAAACAGCCTGAGAAATCAGAGCATGACAGAAAGATGAGGCATTTCATTTTTACACTTTCCAACTGTAAGACAGCATGGATTTAAATAAATAGATTTTAATGCCTGGTTGGGGAGAGATTTTTCTGTAAAGGATGCTTCCTCGATAAACTTGGAATCAAATCTAGTTCACATTTTGAGTCACCCAGCAAAGAGATATTAAAATCGTTACTTCAAAGCGCCGACTAAAAGTCTGAAACCAGAACAAGTTTCACAGCTTTTTAGGTAGGCTAAAAACATTGCCCTGCAGTCCCAATGTGGCCTCCATAAACCGTGTGGCACTAAAAAAGAAGTGGGTCAACTGGTTAGTGCCCAAGAACATAAAAAATAAAAAAAGAAATGCTGCCTACCCCTTTTACAACAATAAGAGAAACGTCTAGACACATTCCTTAGCCATAATACATAAAGATGATTTTTTTTCATTTAATCTACAAAACTTATAATAATATGCCAGAAGAGGTATATGTTATAGCAGACCAGACAGACTAAACCATACTCTAGGAAGGAAGCAGGTTAACAACGTGGGCTCCGGTGATACATTCCTTTCCGAGGTATGCCTGAAGAAGTAGGGTTCATGTTTAAGGTTTTTTAATTTATTGCAATAAAATGATGACCTTCACCTTGAACATACTTATCCCATAGTTTTTGCCATTTCTGAAGCAGTTCTGCAAGTGCACTTTCATGAGTGTTTTTAGTCACACTGCCATGGCTGCCTCCAATGTTCTGAATCCGTTCAAAATGTTTCCCTGGCATGGTCATTTCAACTTCCGGGAAGAGCCGGGGGTCTCCTAATCCCAGATTCCTGTGAATAAGGTGGACCAGGAGCCACAGTAATGCTTGTTTTTACCTTTGCTGTCCCATTGGGCGGCACTCAGGTGCAGCATTCCGGTATGCTTGACACAACTTGCAAAAGTGGTCAGGAAAGGGGACTTTCAGGACCACTTCAGAAAGGGGCAAGGACAGTAGGATAAGTGCGTCTGAAACAAGGATGGGGATTCTGAGGGGAGTTAGTGGCAACACATTTCTTATTTGAACATTCACCCCTATCTTTCTATGACACCTTGTCGATTGTGCCGTCTGTCCCCATATCTAGGCGAGCTCACAGGGATGTATGTGCCTCTACCATTCTAGGAAATAATTTCATTCGTGTTTGGGTTTGTCGGTTCACCAGGGAATTATATCAGCATCATACACACAAGGACAGGCGGCAACGAAGTTAGGCACGTGGCTTTTCTTGTTGGGTAACTTACAGGTTTCCCATGTGAAAACAGACACCATACAACGCTCTCACCTCCACTTGGTCCCATTTCATTTCTATGACCTTCTGCCCTGTTTTCGGCTGCCAGGTTGGCAGGGTGGCAGTTGCCTGGGAGCGGGGCAGAGTCACGTCGGGCTCCTGGGTGGCGGGGACAGGTGGAAGCTCCCTGGGGGCCACGAACTCGGTCCATCCCGACTCTGGGAGTCCGGGGAGGGGCCGCTCACAGTTGGGACCTTCGTAGCCCTCACTGCAGACGCAGATGTAGCCGCTGCCACCGCTGCTGCAGTTGCCATGGTGACAGGGGTTGCTGGCACAAGGATCGGCAGAAAGCTGAAAGGAGACCAGAAATGGGTCAATTATTTCTCCCGAGGAAAGTGGCGCCGTGGCTGGGAGATTAACTCCAAGTCTCGGAGCGGCCGCTCTCATGGAAACGCTGGCCAAGGTCACCCCGATGTCAACCTCTCCACAAACGACAGGTGTCCCGCAAAGGAAAGCACCTTTCCTTTGAGAGGAGCAGCACCCCCCACCGAATCCCAAACCCATTTATAAATAACACTGATTTCAGGAGCACAAAGTTTAGAGGAGTTTTCCAAGGCAACAATGGGTAACACACGGCTCACTAGCCCTGACGTATCACTGTCCTTCGTGATGAGTGGCGTTAGGGACCTCTGGAAGGTCTCTCCTGACAAACGACGCCATGGTGCATCTGCCCTGCAGGTGGAAAGCTCACCTGTGTCTCCCGGCCTCCCTCCTCACCCGCAGGCGATGCCACTGAACGAAAGGTTTCCAGAACCATTCGTGTAGCAAACGCTAGCTCGAAGAGAGCATGACAAGGACTCGGGCAGAATTTTATGAAAATTTGCATCCCGTTCTGGAGGGTGACTGTGGAGCACGTGAGCCTGCTGTGTATGGAGAAGGGCGCTTCAGCAGTTCGCTTCCGCTCTGAGCAAGGTGTCTGTCTCTGAGTCCTTCGCTGCCGTCCTGTGACAGCCGCCTGCCGGTGCCAGGACCTCGCCGAGCGAGGCCAGAGTGTCACCTACCCCTCGGCTTCTGGCGTGTGCACAGCGCTATTCAACTGCAGCTTCTTCTGTGATAAAAGCAAATTAGGTCCCTGGCTGCTCTACCTTGGGCTTCTCAGAGCTGACGGCAAAAGGGAACTCGGTACAGACTGAGACAACCAAGAAATGGGGTGGCCTCCATTTCCTTGTTGAGAGTTCCCACACAGGGACAGCAGCAGAGAGAAGGCTAGGCATGGTGAACAGCTACTCCCCCTGCTCATTACCCTCCTCAGACAACTTCCAAACAGACTTCTGAAGGAACAGGAAGGGATTTAAGATGGAATCAAATGAAGCTCCTAAAATACTGTTTAAATTTAAATTTAAAATATTTACGATCTGTTGACTTAAAAGAAAGCCCTAACTCCTTCCAAGGAAGACAAAGACCTACTTGGCCTCTTACTACTTTCTGAGGGCGTCTTCTCCCACAAGTCTTCTTCTTCTTTTGGACCTGCCACTCTCCACTCTCTTGCTGCCTTCAGACTATACCATATTCATTCCCACCTCAGGCCCTTTGCACCTGCTGACCCTCTGTCTAAATGCTTTCTTCCCAGATGCTGTATGGGTCTCTCTTCCTTTCATTCACTTCTCTACTCAAGTGTCAGGCAAGTCTTCGCTCACTGCAAAATCAAAAATAATCCCTTTCTCCCTGCCCCACAAAAATTCAAGCTCCAGGGACACACGGACTTTATCTGTCCTGGTTGCAGCATGGTCCATGCACATCAAGGAACACAAGAAAGGCTTTAAAAACAAGGCTGAAAGAAATAAACACAGATAGATCGATCAATATTTGGAAAGCATCATGTGATGAGGGAGGGAACGAAGTGCCTGGTTAGTCACGATGTTAGTTCTTGTCTGATTTATTTTTAGAAGGCCTCAGGAGATGGGTGTCAAGAACGAAGACAAAGGAGAAAGGGAATTAATTAACCAGAACAAAGGGAATGATCAAAGCTATGTTTCTGAGATCAACTTTTAAAAATCTGAGGGTGACCAGGTCACAAAAATGAATTTCAATATGTGCATTAAAAAAGTATATTTGCATCACATGGGATCAACAGAAATGTCATTCTGGGGGCCCAGGCCCACACCATGCAGCCAAAGCAGAGATGTCACTAAGATAAGCATCCCTGCTCTGGTGCCCAGGGGTCCCTGTGGCTTCTGTTCCTTCACAACCACCCAGCATGGAGCACAGCCTAGCCTTGGAGAGGCACAGGGCTCCTCCAAAGCAGCACTAAGCCACTGGCCCCCAGAGAATTGCTCAAAGGACAGGCACCCACACTTACCGTGGTCAAGGCCACCAGGCCTGCTACCTACACGGGGCGATTGACAAATACTGTGAATATTTAAATTTAAAACATTTACTACTGTAAAAGACACACGGCCATTAGTCTCCCCTCAGAGTACCTCCCCCTGCTTCGCGCACACTTATCCCACCATGACTGCCACATTCAGAAGCGGTTCTGCAGGTGTTCCTTCCTGAGGGTCTTTACGAGCCGTCCTAAAAGGTAAGGTAAATGCTACCTTCGAGGGCCATCCAACAGAAAGACGGCCTGGAAGGACATTACAGTGTGACCTGATTACCTTATTTCCTGGCACTGTGTAAATTCCGGCTCTTCTCCAAAGTCAAAATGACCATGAAAGACAAGTGTTTTTAACTGATTTGAGACTCCCAAGCAGCAAGGACAGTGTCACTACAGAAACTCATGAAAGAGGACTTGAAGAACTGCTTCAAGAAGTGGGAAGAACAATGGGAAGAGCACACTTGAAGTGAAGGGACATACCTTGAAGGGGACGGGTGGCAAGGTGTCTTTTACCACAATAAATTCTTATTTCAACACACACACTTCTCTATCACACTCTACCGCTGAACACCACACTACCGTGTGGCTCCTTCACCCTCACACAGCCCTGAGTCTGTGGCGCTGCTGGGAAACGGGAGGACGGAGGAAAAGCGAGGGCCGTCACAGCCACCACAGCCCAAGCAGGGTGGCGCCACATCCAAATTCCAGCCAACAGTTCTTTCCCCAGCGCAGCATCACATCTGACGTCCACTTAGTATCGTGCAGTAAGACAAAACAAAGATCCTGTGGGGAAGGCAGAAGGTAAGGGGTACACTTCTGTAGGCAACAAAAAAGTAACTAGGGGCCAAACGCTTTTCTAGAATGCAGGTATGATAAGGGTGGCACTTGGGCAGCACTGACTTCGGGCCGCCTCGGTGAGACTTCAGTCATCCTCACCACAACCCTCCAAGGTGGGCACACTTGGGATTCAAATGACATAGCTGCTGTTTGGCGATGTGAACTGAGTGACTGACTTAGTTTACTAAGTCTGCACAAAGCTTTGCCAGCCCTGTCACCTGACCACCCCCTATCTCTTGGGTCTCATCCCCCACTCCTGCTGTCAGGGACTTGGATCCAGATTACTGAGCTCTTCACTGTTCCCCTGCCCCTCTGGCATCACCTGTCCCAGGACCTTTACACGGGTCACCCCCGCAACCGGAGCACCCTTATTTCTCAGGACTGCTTGAGCCACGTTCCAATCTTCACTCCAATGCCAGCTTCTTACGCAGTCAGCCACACACGCCCACTGGACAGTGCCATCCCCAGCCCTCACCACTGTTGACACCTCTTTCTCTGCTTTATTTTGTCCAAAAGATCTGTCATCTTCTAATATACTATTTTTTTAAAAACTAATATATTTATTTTCTATCTTCCTCCACTAGAATGAAAGCCTTGCAAGGTCAGATGCCTTCTTTTCTGTTCGAGCATCCCCCAACCCAGGGCAAACTGGAGCTGCTGGATGAATGGGGCAGGAAGAGGGAGGGAGGGGAAAGGAGGGAGGGAAGGGGGAGGGGTTTATATACAAGAAGCTGCCAGAGCCCTTGAATGGTGAGGACCAGACCAACTCTGCTGTGAGAGTGAGCAGTAGCAGATCTACGATAAAAGGAGGCTGTCTCCCTGGGCCCTGGATATAAGGCAGGGCAGCACAGAGGGAACGCAGCCTCTGAAAGACGAAGGCAGGAGGAGGTCAGCCGGCTCTCAGTTCAGCGGAGTAGCCACTCTGTCCTCAGCGGCCACCTGGGGCCACTTAGTGCAGCTGGACACAGCACTGGGCAGGGCCAGAGGTGCTGGTGGACAGAGCCCAGGGAAGCAGCGCCACTTAGTAAGGGAACAAAGAGCCAGAGGGAGATGGGCAGATCCAGCAGTGCCACCCTGTGCGGCTTCACAGGGAGAGAGACGCAAAGGAGCACACAGGATTGGACAAAGAGTGAGTGATGGGAGGCCAGGAGAGAAACACTTGCTCAAGAAAAGAGAGCAACACTGAAACATAAACTGTCAATGGTACAGATTTTTTTCTGATACTAAGGATGGAACCCAAGGCCTTCACAGTGAGCTGCCTCCACGGTCCTTTTTTAGTTTTTATTTTGAGACAGGGTCTCACGAAGTCTCTATGTAACCCAGGCTGGGCTTGAACTTGAGATTCTCCTGCCTCAGCCTGCCAGAGTGCTGGGATTATAGCTGTGAGCCACCAACATACTGATTTATAAAAAGATTCAAAGTGGTATATGATGTGATGGACACCATACACGCACAGAGGTACACAGAGACAGAGACAGAGACATACACACAAACACACACACACACACACACAGGTGTGCAGAGGGCTGTATAGACACACAGAAAATGCAGACACACACACACACACACACACACACACAGAGGCACACACATACATGCACAGACACCAGGACACAAAGCAAGGAGTTAAATGCATTCTAGGGGCAAAGATTCCTTTTTTAAAACAATCATTTCATCCTCAAGCTTCCTCCTTGGCTTGCACACCAGTTATTGCACCAACAATGGCAACGGCAACTCTCTGCCACGATAATCTCTGCCCCTCCAGACCAGTCGCACCTGAAAAATTGTTTTAACTCCTAGCAGCAAATCTAAGCTAAAATGCAATGATCCATCTTTAAGCAAAACCCTAGCACCCTTGGGTGTCTACTGTCAGGCCTACTTTCTGCACCATCAGAAGAGCTTCCTTTTGGGCTGTGTTCCTATTTCAGCCCAGGGGAGGCCTGATTCAGAGGTCACTGTTGCTCTCGAGTCCCAAGAAGTGCGAGCTATAAGGAGGAAATATCCAAGCTGCCAAAAAAGCCTAATGAGCCAAGATGTCACAGTTAATAGCTCCAACTTAGAGAACACTCAAAATTGAACAGGTGATATTTTATAGCTATAATTTCTAGTTTCTAATGATGGGGGGAAATGATTAAGCCTTTGTAACTCCAGCTATCATAAAGTGTAAAGACAGCTGATGAGTTCATGGCTTTCTGCTTATAGGTAACTGATGGACTCATTGATCAAATGCTCTAGCTTTGTAGCCTCTTTTAGTCCATCTGTTTACA